GAGACAGTGTGTGTATTTGTGGGAGAGAGAGACGGTGTGTGTATTTGTGGGAGAGAGAGACAGTGTGTGTATTTGTGGGAGACAGAGACAGTGTGTATTTGTGGGAGAGAGAGACGGTGTGTGTATTTGTGGGAGAGAGAGACAGTGTGTATATGTGGGAGAGAGAGAGCCAGTGTGTATATGTGGGAGAGAGAGAGAGAGACAGCGTGTATGGGGTACAGAGAGAGACAATGTGTGTATTTGTGGGAGAGAGAGAGAGACAGTGTGTGTATTTGTGGGAGAGAGAGAGACAACGTGTGTGTATTTGTGGGAGAGAGAGACGGTGTGTGTATATGTGGGAGAGAGAGAGAGACAGTGTGTATATGTGGAAGAGAGAGAGAGACTGTGTATGGGGTAGAGAGAGACAGTGTGTAAGGGGTAGAGAGACAGTGTGTATAGGGTAGAGAGAGAGAGACAATGTGTGTATTTGTGGGAGAGAGAGAGACAGTGTGTGTATTTGTGGGAGAGAGAGACAGTGTGTGTATTTGTGGGAGAGAGACGGTGTGTGTATTTGTGGGAGAGAGAGACAGTGTGTGTATTTGTGGGAGAGAGAGAGACGGTGTGTGTATTTGTGGGAGAGAGAGACAGTGTGTGTATTTGTGGGAGACAGAGACAGTGTGTGTATTTGTGGGAGACAGAGACAGTGTGTGTATTTGTGGGAGAGAGAGACGGTGTGTGTATTTGTGGGAGAGAGAGACAGTGTGTATATGTGGGAGAGAGAGAGAGACAGTGTGTATATGTGGAAGAGAGAGAGAGAGACAGTGTGTATGGGGTAGAGAGAGACAGTGTGTATGGGGTAGAGAGAGAGAGACATTTCACTAATATCTTAAGTGATTTTAACAATAAAAGCTAAAGCTAAGCTAAGGGTTAAAGCTAAAGTGTCAGTTGACATTTGAAAAGTCTCTAACATTCCGAGGCAGCTACATGCAAATGAGCTCTCAGAATGAGCCAATCAGAAAATGAAATAAGCCATTTCCAAACACAAGGCCATGTAATGATCTGCGGGGACCTAAACGCGAGAACAGGAGACCAACCAGCCTTTATCAGAATTCCAGGTGATCACTTTATAACAGGAAATAACATTAAATTCCCTTTTGACTCCCCCAGAGAAAACTAACAATCAATAAACACACATGGGAAGAACCTACAAGTCAATGTCGAAGATTCTGTCGAAGCCTGGGTCTGTATATTGTAAATGGACGGCTTTGAGGGGGCTCCATCGGTCAGCTCACCCACAGCTCAGCTCTAGGCAGCAGTACGGTGGACTACGCCATAACCGATCTGGACCTGACTTTCCAGCCAACAATCCAGCCAAATGTAGAAACTTCTCAACCTCTCAATGGGGCTCAGGACAGCACTGAAACATATCTCCACGTCATAAACAGTCAAAAAATCCAGACAATCCTTTAATCAATCCATAACTCCTTTCTGTCAAACATCTATCCCCAAAATAAAGGAGCTGATGTGGCTGTGGAAAACCTAGACAGTATTTTTGATCACGCAACCCAAATATGTAATCTGTCTGTTCAGAAAAACAAACCAAAGAGCACTCAGTCAAACAAATCGTTTGATCAGGACTGCAAAAGCAGAAAAGAAGGTTAAAATGAATCCAAGCAGAAACACAGTGAACCACAAAATCAGGATCTGCACACAAAATACTATGAGGTACTGAAAGATTATAAACATATACTGAAAAGAAAAAAGTTGGTATCCAGTTGGTGAGACTGTTTTGTACAGTTTTATCAGTTAAATAAAGATTCAAGAGGAATGACAAATCACAGACTGTTATTTTCATTGCATTTTACAAAATGTCCCAAACTCTTCCGGAAATGTGGTTTATATTTTTGGATCTTAAAAGGACACTTTAAAATATGAATCAATTGAAATAATGCTAATAAAGAGAAATTGTTTAGCAGTATATGTTCAACATCAAGAGTCCTTAGATAACTTTCAAACCAGAAACATAGAAACTCTATCAAAGCTGTGCAGAGACTCTCAGAGGGGCAGGTGCTCAAAATAAAAAAAGGGCACATTGATTAAAATATTACAATTACAGCACCACTACAACTACCAATATTCAAGCAGAACATAAAAATGAAGCATACAACAAACATCATCATGTTATACAATGAGAAATTGTGTTGTTAATGTTATTTCAAAATATCAACAAAATAACTTGCTTTAGATAGGTAACAATGACCAATGATGTAAATGATTGAAGCTTTAAATAATAAATGACTTTCTGACTGGTTAACCCTGACTATCACCATAGAAGCTGATAAAAGTACACCTTATTAAATTATTTCAACAAATATTTTATTAAATTATTTAATTGACTGCTCACTATGCATATATCAACAATAAGGCTTTTGTTCTAGTAAGTCATTTGTCATTATCAGTATTCTACCAACTGATGTTCCCCGTTAACCTGTTAGCAACTTAGCTAAAATCTTGCATTTATCTCTAATTAAGCATTACATTCTTTAATGCTAATGTTTGGCACTAACAACATATTACCTACACTTAATTTATTTTAAGAACAAAATTTAGCAATTAAAGTATGCTGACCTGGTAATCATTAGGCCTCTTCAGAAATATTTAGAAGAAAACAGATTATTTTTAGCTGGTGATGAGCACTCGGCTACCCCGTTACAAATGACATCACAGTATTCAGATACCAGCTAGCGACGACTGGATTTCTCTATACTATCGTAGTAGTTTACCGCAGTATATCTCACACCAGACAAACTGAGTCCTCCTTTTAGGTACGTTTAAACTGAAAATAGTGCTTTTGTGTCGTGTTTGATCTACAGTATCATCAATTCTCCTTGTTTTGGAGTGACAGAGCGCTGCTTCAAGTTAGCCAGCTGCTAAAAACAGCTAGCATGGAAAGATCTCTCGCTCTCCCGCTCTTCAATGCCTCACAGCTCCCTCAGTTTACTTTCGTTTAAATCAGGGCTGTAACTCATATTAACCCACTTCTTTCTTTCTATTTCGTTGCTTGTGAATGCACCAATACTTAAATATGACTGTCCGAGCGCTGTAACAGCTTAGTTGTGAGTATCAGACGTGATTTAACGCTGGTAAAGCTGGATAGGATGTTAGTAAAGAGGTGAGTTCCCCGCAGGACAGTACAGTTACGCCACTGACCTCGTCACTCAGACTCGGTCACAGGAGAGCAGATCACCGGTCGCTCCACTCAAACAGGGAATGTATAACTCCGCGTTTCAGCCGTTGCTAAAGACTCATCTTACTCACGGCCCCCTCCCTGTCTAATCATGTCGAAAAACTCGGAAGTGCGCCCTCTCCTGGCGACAGCAGAGTAGTGTCGCTTTCCTTGCAGTAGTAAACTCCACCATGGCTTTCGCTGAACGTGGAAATGTGAGAATGGTGTATTCTATTGAACATTTATCGGACATGGCTTATCGTTCTTTTGAGGAAAAGTTATATCGCGATAATTATCGTTATCGTTTTATCGCCCAGCCCTAACCCAGGGTTATGAAATTTGGAAACAAGTCATGTGGACTGATGAAGTTAAAATAGAACTTTTTGGCTGCAATGAGCAAAGCAAAAGGATGGAAAAAATGGAAAATAAATACTGGCAAATTCTGGAAGCAAGAATCACATGCTTGGTAAAAAGCTGAAGATGAAGAACAGGATAATGATCCTAATCAAAATCCACAATGGATAATCTCAAGAGGCACAAGCTGAAAGTTTGGCCATGGGCCTTACAGTTCTCTAACCTGATCATAATGGAACATCTGTGGATAGACCTCAAAAGAGCAGTGCATGTAAGATGGCCCAGGAATCTCACAGAACTAGAAGCCTTTGCAAGGAAGGAAAAAACAAGAACTGAAAGACTCTTAGCTGGCTACAAAAAGAGTTTACAAGTTGTGATACTTGCCAAAGGCAATTTGTTATGTTTTTTGATAGTATTTTTCAAAATACTGCACTACAGATCTCCTTGTTTTTTTTTTCTTTGTTCCAACTTATATCTGAAAATAATGAAATAGGAGACATACTGTGTAATTTGAGAACGTGTTTTATCAAGTATTGTGATATAACATTTTTGTGATATCACCCACTCTAATGCTTTGGCATCAAATGAAATGCTTGGTGCAATAAGGCAGATTTCCATTAATTATAAAATACAAAAAGAGAAATCAAATATTTGATGCATTTACAAAGCAGCAGACCCCATTCATATAATAATAAAGCTCTCAAGTACCAAGAGTTGAGCAAAGAAAACCCTCACTTCTCAAGTCCTAAGGCTAAAGTTCTACACTAACGTTCACTAACCCAGATACAAATTCAGGACCAGAACACACCAGCAGCCCTGATTAGAATGAAACAAATTACAAAAGACCCTAAACAAAATTATATCACATAGAAGAACATCAATTTAAAATCACCCTCTGATCTAAAATTGAGAGAAACTCTGATGAAGTGCGGACTCCACGGCCAGACTCCATGGTCATAGAGAGTGGCAGACATAAGATGTCTTGGCTGCCTAAATAGCAAAGACTGTGTCAGCATTGACAGCTAATAAGACTGAGACAGTGCTGCACTTACTGACAGAACACACAAATTTCAATCAGATTCAAACAGAATTCTTTACTAAAGTTATAACGCACTCCCTGTAGTTAAGAAGCTTCTCAACATGGAAAAGCTGCTCTGTGTTCTATGTGAATATAATGAGTGCAGTCTAGGAGAGTTAGAACAGTCTAGGTGAGTCAGCTGCATTCTAGGTGAGTGAAAACAGTGTAGGTGAATGAGAGCAGCCATAGATATTATAGCATACATAAACTAGAATCAGTATGCTGGAGAACTGTTAGAAGTATAGAAGGAGCAGATAATTACTGTCTTCAGTAGTTTGTTCTGATTCTACCACACACACAAACACAAACAAACACACATAGGCACACACACACAAAAGCATCTCTGAACACAGATGTTCATACCTGAGGGTGCTCAGTGTGCATTGTGGATCCTCCCGTCTAGCAGAGAGCAACTTCACTCCGGACTTTTCTGGGTGGTTGTAGGTCAAATCCACTTCTTTCAGGTGTGACGGGTTTGAACTCAGAGCTGTAGCCAGGGAAAAACAGCCCTTCTCTGTGATAATACAACCAGACAATCTGCAGAGAGAGGAAAATTTATGTTAATTCTACAAGTTCTTCTGAAGGGTCAGTCTCTGTCACTCATCCAGCACCAAAATCTGCCACTCTAACATGCAGTGACTAAAAGTCTTCTCTGGTTTGATTAATGTTACCATCTTTTTTTATTGGCCCATATTTTTTTTAATAGATATTCTTATCTCTTTGTTGAAAATTAAACAAGCATAACTGATTTTTGTGAGTGGTGCAATGTTTTCAGATATGCTAATATTCTACAGTGTACTACTATATCACTGTGAAACTACATTACTACTGAACTTCTTAGTCTGGTAGCAGAGATGGTACCAGGTTTCTCCATGGCCTGAGCTGTTCTGACAGACATAGCACCAGTAACTAAGGTAGGCAATTTTTTTTGCAAATGGTCAATTAATTACTGTAATTTTTCCTTTTATCTAGCTTTATGTTTGAGTCTTTTCCTTTATTTTATTCCCATTGCTCAACCATTGCTATGTGTGCCTGGCCTTTTTCTGCATGCTGAATGTGATATGCTTAGAAATTAAGCTCTAAAATCTGACATTACCTTGAAATAAAATTTCTACTAGTGCTGTTTATGGAATAATCTTTGATCATTGTTGTTGTTGCTTGCCAACCATAGCTGATGGTTAACAAACTATATTACTTAGAGAAATATTTAATCATTTTTGTCTGGTTTGGACTGCACTGTGGGATGAACAATGCAGGACAAATTGTATAGGACTATTGGATTTTTTTTTATTGTTAATAAGGCTGTGTTTAGGTCTGAATATCTGGACAATTGAACATTCAAAACTGTAAAAACCTTGATTAGCATTCATGATGCCCTCATACATTCCCAAACTTACAGTAATTATTTCACTTTTATTGGTTTGGCAATGCACAAACTGTCCTTTCCTTTGCTTATTTTAGATGCATATTATAAATTTGCAAGGCAGCCAAGGCAATTGGGTAGTCGCTGATATAAATGCCAGTTTCCTTTTATAAGGGGAACATGTCAATGTCTCCTTTTTGTAAGAACAACAAACTGTTTTAACTCTTTGATTTTAAGGTTTGAAGGATAAAGAGGAGACAGCATGGTGGACATAATTAAAGAGGGGACAAATTAAATACTGATCAATTTAGTTGAGAAGTGATGTTATACTACTGTTAAATTCATGTTAAATTAATATATGTGCTGCTTTTTTCCTGACACTAACTGTACATAAATAGCATTTTTTTTTTATTAAAAAAAAATAAAAAATCAATCTCATGAGTGAAAAAAAGCTCCCTTACAAGCGAGCAAAACAAGGAAAATGGATGGTGGGCTCTTATGCTAAGCCCTTTGGACACAAGAAGCATTATCAGAAAATTACACTATGAAGGTAAAAAAAAATCAGCTTTTTCCTTTTTTTCGTTTTCATTCGACCAAGGATTACTTCTGTTAGTGTTATAGACGTGCTTTAATTGGAAACAAAGAACCGACCTGTCCTATCACCCCTGGCATCCAAGATGACTGAAAGAATGCTCTTTTGATGTCTGTGAGCTCTTCCTCCTGGGAAACTGAATATTCATGAGTCAAATTACTGATTGCAGTTGCTACATCTCTGAGATTACATGACATAACTGGCTGAGAAATCCTCGCTTTATCAGCAACTTTGCTTTGAAAATCGCAGTTGACAAAAATGTAGTAGCTGTTAGTTAAACAATGTAGCATGTTAGTTAGCAGTGCCACGACCCTGAAGACCCATGAATAGAGCTGGGCGATATGGCCAAAAATGTTATCACGATAAACAAAATTCATATTGTTCGATATCGATACATATCGCGATAAATGTCAATCATTATTTCTTTCACATTTGAAGGCTGAATTTTGCTCCTGGGTGGTTAATTGTGGTTTTAAACTATCCTTTATGGTCAGAACACGACAAACACTCACCAACCAGTGGAACATTTCACAAATCTGTCATGGGAGAGTGGGAGAAAGTGTCTAGCGAGCTGTTTTTATCACCTGGAAAAGCACAGCCGCAGTTTTTATAATAGTCATAATTTAAGAAAGAAAACAGATTATTTTTAGCTGGTGATGAGCACTCGGCTACAACGTTACAAATGACATCACAGTATTCAGATACCAGCTAGCGACGACTGGATTTCTCTATACTATCGTAGTTTACCGCAGTATATCTCACACCAGACAAACGGAGTCCCTCAAAGCCTCACAGCTTCCTCAGTTTACTTTCATTTAAATCAGGGCTGTAATTTACATGAACCCACTTCGTTCTTTCACTTTCGTTGTTGGGAATGCACTAATACTTAAATATGACTGTCCGAGCACTGTAACAGTGCTGTAGTTGTGAGGATTGTGATTGTGATTTAACGCTGCCAAAGCTGGTTAGGATGTTAGGAAAGAGGTGAGTTCGCTGTAGGACAGTACAGTTACACTCACACTCGGTCACAGGAGAGCAGATCACCGGTCGCTCCGCTCAAACAGGGAATGAATAACTCCGTGTTTCAGCCGTTGCTAAAGCCTCCTCTTACTCGTGGCCCCCTCCCTCTCTAATCATGTCGAAAAACTCGGAAGTGCGCCCTCTCCTGGCGACAGCAGAGTAGTGTAGCTTTCCTTGCAGTAGAAAACGCCACCACGGCTTTCGCTAAAACCTGGAAGTGTGAGAATGGTGTATTATATCGAACATTTATCGGACATGGCTTATCGCTCTATCGAGGAAAAGTTATATCGCGATAATTATCATTATCGTTTTATCGCCCAGCCCTACCCGTGAAGTTTCGTTGGCTGCTCCAAATCTGGCAGCAACTGCTGAGCTAACTGCAGTATCATGGCCCGTGGGACACGGTAGTTGCTAATGAGCATTTTGACGTTAAAACGCAACGCATCATTTGGGTCTGCCAAAAGTCTTTCAATCATTTAACATCGTTGTCGAATAAATATAAAGACATTATTCTAGTAAATGCTAAGGTTGTTCTATAACAGATACCCATAAACAATGGGTTCTATCTCCAACTGAATGTTTTAACACTAAAAATGGAAACTTTAAGCAGAAGTTAGGACACCTGTGGGGTTGTCTTAAAGTCAAGACAATATTTAGGATATTTTGGCAACTTAAGATGTTTCTGTAATACAATTTTCTTATCTGGGATTAAGATAAAATTATGGACTTCAGAACTGTGGTTCTGTAATGTGTAACTTCAGTTAGGACAGAAGCCTTAACTAATGTTGCCATGACAACAAAGCAGCTCAGATCTCAACTTGATTTTTTTTGTAATACGGCCCCAGCTCCCTTCTAACAAAGTATGTGGAATGCATATGTGGAAGGGGTGGCAGCAGAAAATGTTTTCTTTTATTTTTTCCACGAAAGATAGCACCTGGAGTTCACTGGACACTATTGGAACTGGGTTATATGGGTAGATGAGAAAAAAGTAATTTTTTGTCAACAAACATTGAAAGTGGGCATAAACAAAATAATGGTTATACTGTAGACAGCCCCATCCCCATTGTTAAGTATGGAGGAGAGTTGTGTTGTTTTGGGACATTTGTTAGGATAGATACTATGTTATATTTTGGACTCCAAAGAGTACCAGGAGATTTTAAATGAAAATCTGTCAGCTTCCTCCAAAATACTAAAACTTTGTCATGGCTGGATCCTCCAGCTGGACAATGGTCCAAAACATACATCTATATCCACACATATATGGTTCAATGATCACATAATCAAGCTTTTGTCATGGTCACCCAGTCCTCTGACCTAAAACCTATTAAAGCCTATTTGTCGAGTTGAAGAGGTGGGTCCAAAAGAGAGTACATGGAAACCTAGAAGGATCTGGACAGATTCTGTATTTAGGAGTAGATACTTTGCTCCATATTCTCTTTTCTCATCATTATAGGTTATGTTAGCAATTTTCATGAAATATAGGAATACTGACCTGAGTATCTGCAGTTTGCAGTTTGTACTCTTCAATCCGGCAGAAAGCTTCTCCACTCCTGAATCATACAGGTCATTATTACTGAGGTCTAGTTCTTTCAGGCAGTAGGGTTGTGTTTGTAAAACTAAGTGCAGAGAATTACAGGACTGTGTGCTGAGTTTACACTCAGCAAGTCTGCAAAATAAGAATGAAAGCAATACATAATAAATTAAAGAAAAATTCTCACGTATTGGTTGCATATTTCCATAGTACTGATATAGAATTGCATGTCTTGAAATTTTGAAATTCTGACCTGAGTATCTCCAGTTTACAGTGTAAACTCCTCAGTGCAGCAGAGAGTTTCTCCACTCCTGAATCCTGCAGGTCATTATTACTGAGGTCAATTTCTTTCAGGCAGGAGGTTTCTGTTTGTAAAACGGACTGCAGAGTATTACAGGACTCTGCACTGAGTTTACACGCAGCAAGTCTGGAAAAGAAAAGTAAAAGCAACATATAGTACATTGAATAAAATCTTATATATTGGTTGCATATTTCCATAGTGCTAGTATAGAATTGTAAAATGTTATGAAATTTTGGAATTCTAACCTGATTATTTCCAGTTTACAGTGTGAACTCTTCAGTCCAGCAGAGAGCTTCTCCACTCCTGAATCCTGCAGGTCATTATTACTGAGGTCTAGTTCTTTCAGGCAGGAGGTTTCCGTTTGTAAAACTGACTGCAGAGTATTACAGGAGTGAATGCTGAGTTCACAGACAGCAAGTCTGAAAAAGAAGAGTAAAAGCAACATATAGTACATTGAATAAAATCTTATATATTGGTTGCATATTTCCATAGTGCTGATATAGAATTGTAAAATGTTATGAAATTTTGGAATTCTAACCTGATTATTTCCAGTTTACAGTGTGAACTCTTCAGTCCAGCAGACAGCTTCTCCACTCCTGCATCCTGCAGGTCATTATTACTGAGGTCCAGTTCTTTCAGACAGGAGGTTTCTGTTTGTAAAACGGACTGCAGAGTATTACAGGACTCTGCACTGAGTTTACACACAGCAAGTCTGGAAAAGAAGAATAAACGCAACGTATAGTACATTGAATAAAAACACTTTAATATTGGGTGCTTATTTCCATAGTGCTGGTGTAGAATTGCAAAATGTCATGACATTTTGGAATTCTGACCTGAGTTTCTCCAGTTTACAGTGTGAACTCTTCAGACCAGCAGAGAGCTCCTCCACTCCTGAATCATACAGGTCATTATTACTGAGGTCCAGTTCTTTCAGGCAGGAGGTTTCTGTCTGTAAAACTGACTGCAGAGTGTAACAAGACTGTGTGCTGAGTTTACAAACAGTGAGTCTGGAAAAGAAAAGAAAAAGCAACATATAATACACTGAATAAAAACACTTATATATTGGTTGCATATTTCCATAGTGCTGGTACAGAATTGCAAAATATTATGAATTTTTGGAGTCCTTACCTGATTATTTCCAGTTTACAGTGTGAACTCTTGAGTCCAGCAGAGAGTTTCTCCACTCCTGCATCCTGCAGGTCATTATTACTCAGGTCCAGCTCTTTTACAGAGGAATTTTCTGTTTGTAGAGCTGTACTTAAAGTTTCAAAGGACAAAGCAGTGAGGTTACAGCCAGCAAATCTACAGGTGGGGAAGAAAGCCGGTAAAATATATGAAGATTCTCAGTGTTTGCACTTGAAATTATCAGAAAAGTTTAATACTGACATTGTATTTTGTGATACTAGCTTTTAGTCTTGCACCGACATGGTAATGTGGAGACACATTACCTTCGCTCCCTCCTGTTCATTGTTTTTTAAAAAGTTTACACCAATTTTGAATTTGATGCCAGCAACACATTCCAAAAAAGTTGGGAGAGGGACATGTTTATCACTGTGTTGCATTACCTTTTTTCTTAACAACACACTATAAATATTTGAGAACTGAGGAGACCTATTACTGTAATTTTGAAAGTGAAATGTTTTCACATTCTTCTCTGATATAGGATTTCAGTTGCTCAGCAGTTCAGGGTCTTCTTTTTCATATTTTTCATTTCATAATGTGCCAAATGTTTTCAATGAATGACATGTCTGGACCACAGTTTAGCTCCTGGACTTGCTGGCCACGCTGTTCTAATACATGCAGAATGTGGTTTGGCACTGTCTTGCCGAAATCAGGATGGCTATGGCCGTATATGTTGATCCAAAACCTGTATATGTCATTCAGTATTAATGGCGCCTTCAGAGATGTGCAAGTCAACCATGTCATGTGCACAAATGCACCCCCATACCAACACAGATGCTGGCCAATGAACTGTGTGCTGACAACAAGCCAATCCCTCTTCTCTTTACCTCAGAGGATGTGGCGTCCATGATTTTCAATTAGAATTTCAAATTTTGATTCTTTTGAATATGGAACATTTTTCCACTTCATCTCAGTCCATCTTAAATAAGCCCAAGCCCAGAGAAGGCAGCAAAATTTCTGAATCCTGGTTACATATGATTTCCCCCTTGAATTGTAGAGTATTAACTTGCATTTGTGGATGGAGCAACAAACTGCTCACTTGAGCCCATGCAGTGATTTCTACTACAGAATCATGTCTGTTTATAATGTAGTGTCACCTGAGGGCCCAAAGATCACAGCGACCCAATATTGGTTTTCAGCCTTGTTCCTTGCATACTGAGATTTCTCCAGAGTCTCTGAGTCTTTTAATGATGTTATGTACTGTAGATGATGAAATCTCCAAGTTACTTGGCATTTTACATTGAGAAATGTTATTCCTGCATTGTTGCACTATTTGTCCATGCAGTTTTTCACAGAGTGGTGAACCCCTGCCCATACTATTTACTTCAAAAAATCTATTCACAGGTGCATATAGTGCTGTCATGGTGTGCTGGATTTGCAGTGATATATTTATACTTTTACTAAACTCAGTACGTTATGAAAAACAACCTTTACACCAAATTACCACCATTATCCTGCAGTAGTGGGGATGATAAATGCATTAATTCACAGAATTTTGTTGGTTTAGGTAATGGAGAATTTTCTCCATTACCTATACTTCAGGTGTGCAAATTGAAATGCATTGAAACCTAAACTTCTTATCAGATTGACACAGCTGGGACCAGTAACCATCAAACAGGCTATATTCTCCCACAGTCCCCCACTGTCCATTGCTCTTTCAGCAGAATTAAACTGGTAAATGGGTTCTTGACTTAAATTTAATAGTTGAATGCACTCATGACTTGATTCCAACACTGGATCCCAGTGGCTGCCCTAAAAAAATTAGGTAATCACCTAGTGATGAAACCTAACAGAAAAGCATGCACATAATTGCAGGAGACTTTCGATTTTTATTCTAAGGCAAAGGAAATTATAAACTCTGTATAAAACAAAGCAGTACAGGAGTAGATGCTAATAGATTAAATAGGACTAAATGTTAAACCACCGGGGTATGGCAAGAGACAAAAACATCTCTCTGGACCGTCTTCGTACGGTAGTGTTTTGTGAATACATTTGGTGAAAAAAGTCTAGGTTTTCAACACAACAAATAAAATGTTGATCAAATGAAAGTATTCTTAGCCTATGTAAATTCTGTTCCTGTCCATTTAGCACTTCACTTTTTTTGAGCGAAACGTTATAGAAAAACAGTGTGAAGGTCATTTCGCAAAGCTGGTGAGGCTGTGTAGGCTGTATATAATCTTTTATAATTTTTCATTAACCTTTTTTAGACTCCCTAGACTTTTAACATTTTGTCCATTTATTATACCACAGTATTAGCTTAATAATGGTTATGTTTAGACTCACCGAGCCTTTCTGCAGTTTGTGATAGCTGGGATGAGTCTTCTGTATCCTTCCTCTGATGTGTTAAATTTCTTCAGGTCCAAGTCTTCCTTCATATTCTCTGACTGGACACGCATGTAGGCTATGAATGAACATTGCGCAGGAGAAAGCTGCTTTTTTGAGAATTTATCTAAAATTAGAGAGAAACAATGGAAATCTTTCAGAAACCACCATCTTAAAGTGCCACAGAATTAAAAAGTCATTTTGATAAGATAATCCTTTATTAGTCTGACAACGGGGAAATTCACAGTGTTACAGCAGCAAAGGGTAAGCAAGGCATTTAAGAAAAAGAATTAACAAGCAAGTAATTAATTTTGTTAAGTACTTAACAAGGTTTTTTACGGTTTGTTACTTGTTACTAAAAAAACAATATATATATTATATATATATATATATATATATATATATATATATATATATATATATAATACTAAAAGTAAAAAGATAAGATAAAAAATATAAACTCTATCCTTCACAAAGAATTAACAATATAAAGAATTATAAAAAGCTAGGATATTTATACTGTAAGGATATTTTGCCCAAAATTCACATGAGGTACTGGTTTATATTACATTATTTTATATATTTTATGTTTATATTATACGGGATGGTGAGGAGTTAACAATATAAACAATTATAAATACAAATCTAAAAAAATATTACACTATAAAGATTTTTTTTAAAAATAATTACACATGGAGTGTTGATTATATTGCACACAGGAAAAGGTGATAAATTCACAGTTTATGTTCTGTAGGTGTGTGAGGTCTAATGGTGGGTGGAGGAGGTTCTACTGGGAGCAGTGCTGGTTGTACAGTCTAACAGCAGCAGGAAGTAAGGACCTGCGATAGTGCTCCTTCACACACTTGGGGTGAAGCAGCCGTTCACTGAAGTAGCTGCCCAGTGCGGGAGTTGTTCTCCAGCATGGATGCTAGTCTGGCTAACATCCTCCTGTCTCCCACCGTCTGCACTGGGTCTAGTGGGCTTCCCAGGACAGAGCTGGCCCTTGTAGGAAGATTTCAATTCAATTCATCAGAACCAGATTTGGTTCTGATGAATTTGTCGCCTGGTATTATACATTTCTATAACCTAAGAATAGCTCTATTAGTTAGTTTGCATTGAAGTCCCTCTAGTTACTGAATAAGCCTTTTTATGTAATAAGCCTGGAATGTTAAGGGGTTAATGATAAGTAATGATAATCCATAAGTATGTGGTCACCTACACCAGCCATTTGAGCTTGTTGGACATACAATTCCATAGAAAAGAATACAGAGCTATAATAGTATAACTACATAGAATAGGATAGTAATATAGAGTCCCCCTTTTTGGCTATAACAGCCTCCACTTCTCTGGGAAGGCTTTCCACAAGATTTTGGAGTGTGTCTATGGGAATTTGTGCACATTTGTGTACATACTACTTCATAGATTCACCTGTGCTCTCAGTGTCTGACTCAGAAGCACTCTATGTAATAAACTACATTTATGTTATTTGTCCCCTCTGTTACAGTGCCAAAGATAACCTTTTATTTCAGCAGCAGGACTAGAGCACTGATTCTCTGGTCCTAGCTCTTCCTCCCTTCTCTGATTCTCTGTTCACACAGCAGGTAAAAATGGCCCAAATCCAATCGTTTCCTCATATGTGACACAGATGTGTCATCTGTGTGGCAGTGTGAACAGCAAAAAAACACTGAATCTGACATTTTCAATTCCACTTTGAGACTCATTTATATGTTGTACTGAAATCTGACCTGTAGCCGATCTGTGGCAATACGATTCAGTCTGAGCAGCCAGATCAGAATTCATGCAACTTTTACGTCAATCCCACTCGAAACTTGGCATTTCATGCTGCATAGTCAAGACTGTTTACCTCTGGATGAGGTGTCATGTGAAGCACTGTTCATTTGTGCATGCAGGTCGGTTTAGAAGCTGATCTGTTCAGATTGATGTTGCATACAGGACACATTTAAAAGATAATGTGAACAGCCAAACAAAAAAATTGGATTTGGTGAGAAAATCAGATTTAGCAGGTAAAAGTGGCCCAAATCCAAACTTTTCCTCATGTGTGACACAGACGTGTCATCTGTGTGGCAGTGTGAACAGCAAAAAACACATTGAATCTGACATTTTTAAATTCCGATTTGAGACTCTTTCATATGTGGTACTGAAATCTGACTCAGTCTGAATAGCCAGCCAGTCGGCAATGTGACTCAGTCTGAACAGCCAGATTATGCGGCTTGTACGTCAATCCAACTCGACATTCGTCATAATTTTGCACTGCTGTGACCTCATAAACATTTAGGCTGATGTTTCCGTACCGAAAAATTAGTAGAGACTTATCACAACCTTTCCGTGTTCGAAGAGGTTTCGAAAGAAATGGCTGAAAGTGGCCGTAGGAGACCGAGGCTGCAGCATGAAAGAACAGTTAAAACTCTGAAAGCAAAGTTTAAAGAATCCGAGGACGCAAACCAAAGAAGTGACCGTGGCCGAATAACATGCCTTTTTTAATGCTAGCTAGAACACATTCTGGGTGATGAGCCCAGCTATCAGTCATTGGAACTTCATGATCGCTCCTGTGGTGCTGACGAAGATGAAACTGAAACCTTTGGGAGCGACTGCCGTTCGTACATAGTCATGATTATTTACCTCTGGAGGAGGCGCCATGTGAAGCACTGTTCATTTGCGCATGCAGGTCCAAACTGTTCAGACCGATGTCAAATATAGGTCACAATTAAAAGACAATGTGAACAGCCAAACAAAAAAAATCGATTTGGTGAGAAAATCAGATTTGGGCCACTTTTACCTGCTGTTTGAACATAGCCTTAGTGTCATGCAGGTGTGCCTAGAGAAAAATAATTATTTTGTTTCAGTAGAGATATACAAGACTTCTTCTGCTCCTTCTTCTAAATTTGAATAAGCTGATCTTTCATTTCATTTCAATACATATATGCTTCAAAATGCTGATACTTGGTGATTGTATTCTGTGTAGTGGACTTGGCTATTTTTCATTCTTAAACTGATCAGAACGTTTGGACAAAGTTAAAGCTTTAACTTGAAATGCCAAGAACAATCCCCCAGGCATTGTCAGAAGAAAATCTGACTAATGAATTTATGGCCCCCACCTATTGATTATCTCCCAACACCCCCTCATCTGGCCTCAAAACGACCGATCACCCTGAAATGTTAATGGACTGCCTCAGAATATCCCTTTTAAAACACTCTAAGGAGGACAAAAGTAATTCTGAATACACACTGAGTTTATGACGCTTGCAAATTCCTTTCCCTCTTCCCCTAACACACACATCTCATCTCCATACAAGGGAAGGCATCTGGCTCAAGGAACAGACTCTGACCAGATAATCATTGCAACCTAATGCACCCCTCTAACTAAACCCTTTTGGACCAGTTCAAAGACGACTGCCCTACAGCGATGTTTAAAATCAGATTATTTCAGTAAAATACATTTCTTTAGAAGTGCCAATACACTTTATTTATTTATAATGTGGGTATGTCTAAAGACAGCAATATCAGTTTCTACATATCCTCATTAAATATACAGACTGATCAGTTCATGTATGAAGCTTTTGAGAGTCAACTTGCACTCAGATTTTTAACCTCACTAACATGAGGTTGCTGACAAACCTGGTTGATCAAAGTGCTGTGTAAACTGACTTTGAAGAAAATATCAAATTAATAAAAGTTCAATCTTTTGAAAATGAAATTCTTATGCATAACAATCCACAAAAAAAGAGCACTTCATTCTGTATAGAAAGTAATCAAATGGTAAGCTAGACTGAAATTTAGAGATGCAACAATAAGAAACTTATAGGTGGTTAATCTAATTTCATCTGTGACATTTAATAGGTCAATAGGTATTATTATTGCAACATTTATTTATTTATTTACAACTATGATTTATGCAGTATCCCCATAATTCTTTCACTCTTACACTTATTTTTAAGCTGGACCACTCAAAATTGCTTTTTGACCATTTATGTTATCAAATGTTATTAATCCTATTTCCTGTGAATAAGGACAAATATGACTTAGCATATCTAATAAGTGCAGTGCTATGACTTGTTCAAATTTGAATACATTTACCTTAAAGTATTTGATTAACATGCATAATATGTGTGTTTCTGTTATTGACCCTTTGACAGAATAATTCATAAAACAGCCCCCAGATGTACATATGTAAAAACATTCAGTGATGTGACCGCAGTATGCACTCACAGTCTGTGTTATACAAACTCGATTTCTGTCACTGGAATTGAATTACATCATTGTAGAATGCTTTGGTGGGAAATTACTTACTAAGACTGCCATGTCATAATTACAGAACTTTCAGTTTCTTTTTTGTCTTGAGCTTGTTGGTGGTTCCATGATTTCACTGCCTCTTTTGAACCCTGCATAGTTATTGGTCAGGGCTGGGCACAGTTTATGTGATAAACTGCAGTCTTAGTTAATCGAATGATAATTATGGTTGCATTAAGGCACATCCTGCACTGCTCTTGTGTTCATAAAAATAAAAATATGTGTGGACTATATTGTTGTAATGAAATAGGATGAATAAAATGTTACATCAGCACGATCAGATTTTTAGTTCATCTGTTTTGGTAATTATGTTGATGTAATATATTTTATTAATTTGGAACCACTTGACCCATTTAAATATTATTTTAATTTGAATAATTAAAGCACCATTTTTTCCTTGTACTACTGAAATGTAACTTTGCCAGTTCTGGCAACCTCCTGATGCTTTAAAACAAGTATTAAAATGTGATTTTAAAAAATCAACAAGTTAAAAAGTGAATGTGGTCCATATAGAGGAAGTGAGGTGCACAGAAATTAATTATAAATATTTACTGATAATTTTTAGCACTAAAGAACCTGACAAGGAGTTCAGCTTTTTGAATGTGATCATGCTAAATTATACAGTCTCCCAGAAGTCATGACATTGCACAACATAATCTTTTTTGCACATGTATACAGTCCATACGGAAAATGTTTTTTAATATAACTTATTCCTGAAAATTCTGAATTAAAAAATTACCTTTCAAGATGTAAGCTGTAAAGGCGGTTAATACAATGGCAAACATTAAAATGCAGATGATGGCAATCTTCCAAGCATGAAAACCTTTTCCTGAAATACAAACCAGATAAAATTGTACTTATTTTGTGATATATTAAGCATAGTTCAGAATTTAGAATGACTATGTGCAAGAAATATTTAGAAGTTTTTTATGAAATGTGGCCAAAAATATCTTTTATGGTCAGAACATGACAAACACTCGCCAAACAGTGGAACATTTCACAAATCTGTCTTGGGAGAGTGGGAGAAAGTTTCTGGTTGGCTGTTTTTACCAGCTGGAAAAGCACGGCTGCAGTTTTTGTAATATGCATAATTTAAGAAAGTTTAGCACTTTAGTGCTAAATGGTTTTGTTTCTCAATAACGTCAACTTTGTACGAACAGCAAACATTAGCTGGCTCGGTACGTCAGTAATAGATCACACTGCCTTACTGCTATCAGTCCTACCACATCCATGTCAGAGTGTATTACAGTATTCCTATTTTTAGCTATGTTTAAACTGAAATCAACTTTTTTTGTTGTTTGATCTACAATAACATCAATTCGCTGTGCTGTGCGAGTGACAGAGCACTGCTTCAAGTTAGCCAGCTGCTAAAAACAGCTAGCCCAGAAAGATAGCACTCTCCTACTTTCCAATGCCTCACAGCTTCCTCAGTTTACTTTTGTTTAAATCAGGGCTGTAACTAACACGAACCCAGTTCTTTCTTTCACTTTCGTTGTGCTGTAGTGGTGAGGAGCAGACGTGATTTAATGCTGCTAAAGCTGGTTAGGATGTACAGACAGGGGTGAGTTCACTGTAGGACAGTACAGTTACGCCACTTATCCTGTCACTCAGACTCGGTCACAGGAGAACAGATCGCCGGTCGCTCCACTCAAACATGTATAACTCCATGTTTCAGTATATTTGGTGACTCATTTTACTCGTCACCCCCTCCCTCTCTAATCATGTCGGAAAACTCTGAAGTGCGCCCTTTCCTGGCGACAGCCGAGTAGTGTCGCTTTCCTTACAGCTACCAGGGCTGTCGCTAGAACATGGAAGTGTGAGAATGGTGTATTATATCGAAGATTTATCAAACACTTCTTATAGTTCTATCAAGGAAAGTTATATCGCGATATTTATCATTATCATTTTATCGCCGAGCCCTAATGGTAACATGTAGAGTATGCTTGTCTCTGACACTGAATGCTATGCTGGCATAATTTCAAATTTTGTATTTAAGAATCTAAAGTACTGTATGTGGTGTTTTATGTAATGATGAGTTAGTAACACTTGATGGTCTCAAAGCTATACTTAATTCTGTTGTTAACAAGTAATTAACTATTATTGATATATTAGTTAACTGTTAATTCAGCATGGTTATTACTTAGTACCTGGTTAATTAATGGAGGAAATATTTAATGATTTAACAGTAGATTGATTTAATTGTAACTACTAGAAGTGTAATTTTGTTCTTTTTGAGTAAATACACATGAATTTGTTGGCAATACAATAAGCAGAAATTAGTACACAGTAAATACACTAGGAACAAAAGACAAACTATCAGTTTAACAATGTACTCAAATACTACATTCTTAATCCATTACTAAATAATAAATACTGCTTAATCAAATGTTAAGTAATATACCAATAAAGCAAAATTGATAACTTAAAAATTAATAACTAATTTGAGACCTATACTGTAAACTGTTACTGATTAATTAATGCATTATTGGAAGTTAATAAATCAGAACTAATCATACAATGAAATTGCAATGGCTCTTACCTTTAACTTCAACATAAATATTTATAATAATATAATAATAATAAGTCAAGCAATGAAACTGTTATCACTCACCTTTAACTTCAACATGAACAGTGATGTCATCATACAGGGACCCAGACTCAATATAACACTGATAAACTCCCTGATCAGAAGCTTGGACTCCTGAGAGTTTCAGTGAGGTGTTTCCTTTCTGCAGTTCAGTTTTAAATAGAGCTGTTCTTCCTCTGTACGACTTAATCTGCTTATCATTTGTATCTTTATGGTCTTTATAGAGATGAACTAATCTATTATCACTCAAATCTGTTCTAATCCACTCCACCATCATATCCACAGCACTGATGTTGGGTTGGAGAGAACAGGGCAGAATCAGATCTTCACCAGCGTCAACAACAAGGGACTCAGCCCGGCCAACTACTTTAAAGTTCACTGTAATGGAAAATATAGTGTATAACAAAACAGTAGTATTTAAAAAAAAACATTTCAGTGTATGTAATTGTATATATGAAATTATATAAATGAAAAAAATCACTGATTTCTGTTTTTTTTTACACATTATTCTGCAAACTGAGTGCTAACATGCTCCAGCACAGTTGTTCTTTTAATTCATAATTCATCTAATCCAGGGGTGTCCAAAGTTCAGCCTCAGGGCCAAATGGGGCCCACGGACAGATTTTAATTGGCCCATGGCTTCTGTATAAGAGTGTGTTAAGAATGGCCCACCAGCCAGAACATTGCATCAGCACCTTAAAGTTATAGTGCAATGCACCGCCATGTGATACCAAAGTTAACTAAAGTTTGAGTCTTTCTTCTCTGACTAGACCTTCAGCTTAATTACTGAAGTCAAGACTACAGCCATAAAGTACAAACACTGAGAACAGCACCAACTTCTTATCAGAGCAAATTCAGTTGTTTAGTTAAAATTTATTTAATATAAAATTTTTGTTTGGTTTGTCTCATTATATTTTGGAACAAATAAACACTTTAATAGGATAATAACTATTACATAAGACATGTTTTATTGTTACTCTTAAACAATTTAATTATTGGTTATAAGAGCTTACCGTTCCAAATTGCTCTGAGCAATCCAACAATAAAATGAGCCTAGTGCATATTTTATACAGTGACAGGAAACATGGTAGCTCACAGAAAGCTCAAATTCCATATGCGGATATTTCTAAAACTTAATATTTTGAATTATTTGCAAATTATATTTTGACTCACAGACATTTTGACATGGTATGATCTGGCCCTCTTTGAAAAAGTTTCAACACCCCTGATCTAAACTAATGTCTCAGCCAATGAACCTGAGGTCTTCTGCTTATGTGGCTGAACTACAGGGCAGCACCGTTGGCTACATGTTTGAATATCTCATAAGACCATGGAAGTGTCTGAATGGCTGATACGTGAAATAATGAGGGCATCATGGAACTACATATGAAAATCAGTTGTACTTTAAGCAGTATGTTATAAATACAGAATAATAGATGAGGATCTGTTTTTTCTGATTTAATTGATTGGTACATTACATCAAAGAATGTCTTTTTTTTTTACATTTTTCTTCTATAATTACTTAAATTATATCAATTGTAAGGTAAGCTAAGGTAAGTAAGGTAATATTTAAGTAAGTTACCAATTCTAATGAATCAGGTGAATGCTCTTTTACTTGCATGTTTAATGCACATTTCTCCCTCAGATACACAGCTTTTTACATGACAGACACATACCTGACGTGGACTCCATGAAACCAGAGAAAATCAGTAGCATCACACACAGAAGCATCATTGCTGAAAAACAGTCTGAAGAGTCAAAAAGCAAAATTAGAGCACTAATTGCATGCAAGATGAACCATTTAACTACAAAACTTCAAGCAGCATAAACCTTGCACACTGAGCAGAAACTAAACTATAATTTAACGATTATCCTAATTTAGACACTTAACAAACAGTAAGTACATGTACATGAAGCATTCATGGTATATTCATGAACAGTACAGTAACACTTCATTATAATTACATAATCAGTTTGAAATATTCATTGAATACATTCATTAATAAGTAGCAAGCATATATTTTAATAAACTGAAAACATACTCTTTGATGTTTAATACATACATGAAAAGATATTAAAATATACATTTTTTTTAATTCCTGTTTTTGAGGAAACCAAAACAATTCTATGTGCATGATATTCAAAAGATATACCTCATTCATTGTTGTTCACTTAATTACACCTGAAAGACATTCATGTTTCATAAATATAGTGCAAATTAATGACATTTCACATTCCTATACATTACATGCACTAGTACAGCACTTCAAAATGTGATGTGCATTATACTGGAGAAATATGTAGGAACAATTAGATATTTTCTCGCCATTTTCTTGATGATTTTAGAGATAACTTTAGGAATCGCTTTCCTAAATAATCTCTTGTAATATTATAAGGTAAGATGCTGATTTAGCTCTTACAGCTTCAGGTTCAACAGAACTGAGACACTCTACAGTAGTTTCGGTATACTGTCATTATTATGACAGTGCTATATGAGCTGTGGTAAAGATGATGTGATGAGCATTATTTTATTGACTGTCACAAAGGAAAAATTCAGCTTTTTAGTACAGTCTTCAGTCTTCAAAGTATATTCATTAAATTGTCATACAGCATTTTGATGTGAAGGTTTTGTAATGTGTTTAGTAAAGTGTTCTGAATAAACTAGTGACAGGACTCTTGGGTACAGTACAGTACACTGCTACATCTTGGTTCTTATTAAAATGAAATCAGTATTGAGCAGAGGTGAGAAATAATGACTTTCGTTCACTCTCATTACTGCACTTACTCGAAAAAATGTCAGCTATTTATTAAACTTCAAAGCTGTTGCATATGTTTTATTGCAAGTGCTTGTTAGCTAGCTAGTTACCAGGTGTAAACCCATTGCCTGTTGACATGTATAAAATACAGTTTTGGAGGTTTACAGCCATATAAGGAAATGTAAACTAATACAGGTTCCCCATAAACTTTTTACAATAATTCTGTTGTGCTCTGATTTCTTTTTCCTTAGTGTCCTAAATATTAATGTGATCAGACTAGGGGTGGTGAGGTGTGAGCACAGTGTATGATTTATGTGAAATTCTTCATGAGCATGATGTACATGGACAAAACAGAAACTGCTTTGTGTGAGAAAACATCACACACTAAAATTAAAAAAGTATTGCTGTAATTTTCAGACCATTGTTTGATCTGATTGAATAAAGAATTATTTAAAGTTCTGTGTTTCGAATGTAACTTACAACCTCATTTCCAAATAAGTTGGGAAGCTGTGCAAAATGTAAATAAAAATAAAATGCAATTATGTGCAAATCATTTAAACCTTATAGTTAATTGAAAATAGCACAAACACAACATATCAGTGTTGAAACTGAGAAATTTTATTGTCTTCTGACAAATATACATATATGCCCACTTTAAATTTGATGCCAGCAAAATGTTTGACGTTGAAATGTTTGAAAAACTTCTCAGTTTCAATTTGATATGTTGTCTTATTAATTAATTGATTGAATGATCTGAACATCATTGAATTCTATTTTTATTTATATTTTGCACAGCAGCCCAACTTTTTTTGGAAATGGGGTTGCATCTAAAAATGCATTAAGAAAGATAAATTTACACTTTAATCTCACCTTTAAGATGGTACCACATCATTAGGGACTCATTGTTCTGTCAGTTCATCACAGAACACAGCCTGACTTCATCTTTCTCTCTTTCTCAACCTGTCTACACTAAGTGTAAACGTGCACTAGTGGAGCACTTGTTTCAGTCTCAGGACTCAAAACATTTTTCTCATGTAACATCATAATTTGCATTAGTTTTGTTTGTAGATTATTTCCAACGATGTAGCCGAGTCAACTCAGAAATGTTCTCAGCTTGTGACTTCAATTACTCAAGTAATTTTCCAATAAACAATGGTTGAGTAATTTCCTTAAGAATGCCAAGATCTGTGAAACCACTGATTATGAAAATTATAAACTCCCCCTTTCTGCCACATTTCTAAACCCCACCCCTTCCCCCCAGTACCATGTACACCAACTGTTTGAGTTTGGACAGATGAGATAAGAGCAGAGCAGAAACAAAAAATAAGCTCAGACTGTAACATTATTGATCAGAAAGATTCTGTCTTTTTTCACTCTGTCTCCAGTCACTTGATTCACTTGCTGACAGCCTACGGTCTTTATCTTCTAAACTTACCTCAGTTAGCAGAAATGGCTGAATTTAAAATTTAATTATTTACACAGGTTTACCTGCTCAGATTTTTTTTCAGTCTTTATTCTCAAAACATGTCAATGAGGCTTTAGTCAGTTGGAGTAAAGCTGTAAAGCAATCAATACTAAAGCATTTTCAAAATAATTCTGCCATAGAATGAGCTTTTCTACAGAAAAAATATGCAAAATATTATTTGACTCATTATGAACTCTACAGCATTCAGTCATACATGAACTCTTTATATATAAATTAACTGAATATAAATAAACCACAATCACAATCACACTTCTTGAAAATAAATGTAGAAAAGCATAAAGTGCATTATAAAAATTACTCTTCATGATGATACTACAATGGCCTCCATGTGTTTGCTGACACCGCATTCACATAACTACACTGGTATCTGTGAAGGGTCTACTAGCCTGAAAACATCTTGAGGAAACACTGCATGTGTATAAACTTGTTTTATTGACTGTCTTTTCCAGTACGAAACTAACCAAACGAAAATGGTACATTATCACAGAAATCCAAACTCTGATGAGGACTTTAGCAAACAAATCAGGTGTAAAGACAGTCTTAAACTCCACATTCCTACATTTCAATAAAATATCACCCGATTCGCGCATAAAATTCACTTCTCTGACAGTTTCAGTTTGAAAGTGTTTCACTCACTGGAAACGAGCAGAAATAGCAATAATAATATCCATTAAATCTGAGAGCAGAGTTACCTGATTCTGAGGTCAGTGTTCAGAGTCTTTAAAGCTGAGAGCAGAGTTACCTAATTCTGAGGTCAGTGTTCAGAGTCTTTAAAGCTGAGAGCAGTCACCTGATTCTGAGGTCAGTGTTCAGAGTCTTTAAAGCTGAGAGCAGAGTTACCTGATTCTGAGGTCAGTGTTCAGAGTCTTTCAGAGTCTTCAGTTAGAATTTCAGCTCCGTCTTTATCAGGAGCTCCAGTCCTACAGCAGAGACACACATCAGCTCATATATAATAATACGATCCGTAGTTTCTCACAGTCGCCAGTTTATTATATCGCACTCCTAAACACACACTTAGCTTCTCTATTGGAGTTTAAACTGAATGACAAACTAGCTGTAACTTCCTTTTCTTTAGAAAGAGAAAACCAGTTGGAGCACATTTTACTCTCATTATATTAAAAGTGTATCTGGGGTCAAATCAAACTCTTCGAACGTGTATTTGCATATAAAACTTCATATTGATGTATAAATACTCAGGGCTTTGGGTTTATATGTGTGTAAAGTCAGTAAACACTGAACAGACTGTCTGTATGTGACCGAGAAATCCAGACAGACAGCAGTGCTGCTGTTTTAATGGTCTCATTATTACCTACATCATCCATGTACAGTCAGATTAAACAGGTTCTAATGTTCCACTCATACATGAAGAGAAATACAGCATGAAGCTCAGTGACAGAGTTACTACAGGAGAACTTCAGGAAGTTACTGTGTTTCTGTTCACAGAGAAATGGTTTCAGTTCAGGTTCACAACTCAATGAGTGTCTGAATGATTTCATTAGAAAAACATGAACTACTTCCAGATTCCACACACAGGAGTGGCTGAACACAATAATACTGAGAGAGAGAAAGAGAGAGAGAGAGAGAGAGAGAGAAACAGAGAGAGACACAGAGAGAGAAAGAGAGAGTCAGAGAGAGAGAGAGAGGGACATAGAAAGAGAGACAGAGAGAGAGACTTTTAGACTTTTAAGCACCTTTATTTAACATACCATAACAAAAACATAACACAAAAAAACCTTTGTTATCCAGATTAAACCATTAACAAAACATGAGTTTTCCAAACACACCACAAACTGTGTCCTTCAGAAAGTTATTACAAACCCACCCTGATCGTCCAGCTCACAGATGAAGCCCCCCACCCCCCACACAGCAAAGAAAGTGTCTACATCATCAGTTAGGGTATAGTAGGCATATTCCAACAGGAGTCGCCTTGACGCCAAACCCCTCACCATTAAATCAGGATCAGTTCCCCCGCGCCCTTTGATCCTGTTCTTCCTGCTACACCAAATAGCCAGTTCCACTGCTCCATACAAAAAGTTTAAAAGTATGACCTCGTCCCTCCTCGAGACAGAATACTTTGGTCCGTAGAGAAATAAGTTCTGGTCGAAGACACCCAAAATCGCTAAACCCCAATTTCTAACTAAATTTAAAATCTGGCATAGGGGAGAACACTGTATGAAAATATGAAACAACGTTTCAGAAACCCCACAAAAATGACACCCATCCCCAACTAAAGGATCAAGTCGTGCCACGTGCCTGTTTGTGGCTAGTATCCCATGTACAATCCTCCACTGGAGGTCTCCCACTCTCTTTTCAATGGGCCTCTTGTACAGAGACCGCCAGCTACCTTTAGGTGACGAGCCTGCCCCCACAACCTCAGTCATTTGGTTTCCTGCAGATCAATGAGAGACCAAAAATTCAAGACTTTAGTGCAGGCAAGTTTACTGATGCCAGCTTCCAAGAAGCTGACCCTCAGTGCACCAGAGACCCGGGACAGTGTCGGAAATGCAGAGTTAAAGAACAAAGGTTCCTCGAATATGCACTTGGATGGAACTGCGCAGCTCTCCCTTGAAAGAGAAAAAAGCTGCCAGGCCTCCACAGCTGCTGAGTAAAAAGGAGTCAAACCTCCTAAGTCCACTGTTCCTAGCGAAAGGGAGAACAGGTGTCTGTCCAGGCCCATGTGACCAGCAACCCGCAGAAGGGCACAGGCCAGATCCATCCAAGCATGACGTTGGTGATACAGAAGCTGCTGCACTGCCTGTAAGCGTAAGACAGCGACTCTGGAGCGGATATCCATCAGCCCTTGTCCACCCTCCTGCACAGGAAGATACAACACTGCAGCTCTCAACCAGTGCTGACCACTCCAGAAAAAGTCCACCAGCGCCCTCTGAATGGCATTAATCAGTTCTCCAGATGGATTCAGCACAGTGAACTTATGCCACAACGTTGATGCTATAAGGTTGTTGGCGACAAGAACTCGCCCCCTATATGATAACTGGGGTAGCAACCATGACCATTTAAGCAACTTGGCACGCACTTTCTCCATTAGCCCCTCTCAGTTCTTAACCTTAACTTCCTCAGTTCCTAACCAGACCCCTAAGAACTTCAACCCCTTCCTACCCCACTGTATACCACCTGGAAGTAGTGGCAGAGAGCTATTCCCACACGGACCACACCATTAAGCTTCTGTCTTATCCCAGTTTAGTCTTGCAGAGAAGGCTTGTTCATAAGTCTTTAAAGAATCTTTTAAAAACATCACATCTGCTTCATGACGTATCACCACTGTAATATCATCAGCATAAGCAGTGAGTTTAATGGAATTTATCCCACACTGCAAACCTGACAGCTTCTTCCTCAGTAAGCAGAGAAAAGGCTCAACTGCAATAGAGTAGAGCTGTCCTGAGAGTTTCACTGCTGTCCTGAGAGTTTCACCCCCCCGTATCAGATACCTCTGACAGCCTGTCCTCCTCATCCATGCCCTCCTACACCGACACAACTGACTCAGACTGAGACTCACTCACAAACATAGACCCTGCAGTGCTACACCCCTCACCACTCAGCCCAGCCACCTCACCACTGTCCACTACAGCACAACACTCACCACTGACCCCAACACCAGCTACACGTTCACCTTGACTAGCATGCTGCTGATCCCCCTCACTCTCCTGAACATTCTCCACACCCAAACGCTCACTCACCTCCTCTCCACGGTTCACCTCCCGAGCCGAGGACGTGCCTTCACCGGGGTCTTGGGTCACATCCACCTCGGCGGTCTCCCTGCGCTCGGCCGCAGTGGAGACCCGGTTCTCCTGAGCTGCCGTCTGATTTTTATGTGGGCACGCAAACCGCTTATGGCCGATATCACCACATTCAAAATATCTCAAGCTGTCCGTACTGGCGTACACCATGAACGAGCTCTCTCTGTGAGCGATGCGGAAAGAGGCCTCCAGCGTTTTATCAGAGCTGTTCAGAAACATAAACACTCGCCGCCTGAAGGACAGGACGCGTTTGAGCGCCGCGGCCGTACAGCCGAGCAGGATCAGCGATATCGCACTGGCGAATTTTCCGAAGCGGCTCAGCTCCTTAGCGATTAGTTCGTTTGAAATAAACGGCGGGACATTGGAGATGGTGACCTTCGTGGCCGGCGTCTGAAGCGGAGACACCGGCACAAAGGTCTCCAAAACCCAAATGCCGCTCTTGACTAGATGATTTACCAAACGCTCGTCTTTTAAAAAGACGACAACAGCTTTATTAATTCGCGAGGCGGAGTAAATTTGGTCATTTCCAACTTTGTAGCCCACCGCTAAAAGCACGTCCTCGACTGTAGCTTCAGCGGCTAGGGCAAGTCTAAAGCCATTAGAGAGGGACAGAGAAGGCGCCATGGCCTCTCACCACTCACAGCGGCTACACACACCACAGTAAACACTAACAATCAGAAAATAAAGTCAAAGAAAGATACGAGAGAAAAAGAAAAAGTGAAAACTCTCCAACACACCACAGCACCCTCACACACAGCACTCTCACACCGCCCAACTCCCAGCATGCACAGAGAGAGAGAGATAGACAAAGAGACAGAGAGGGAGAGAGAGAGAGAAAGAGAGGCAAAGAGAGAGGGAGAGAGAGAGGAGAGAGAGAAAGATGCATCACAATAATTCATTTTTCTAAGCATTAATAAGTCAATAATAAGCAGCAGTGCTGTGTGGTCAGTAGTTTGATCTGCAGTGCTGTGTGGTCAGTAGTTTGATCTGCAGTGCTGTGTGGTCAGTAGTTTGATCAGCAGTGCTGTGTGGGCTGTAGTTTGATCAGCAGTGCTGTGTGGTCATTAGTTTGATCTGCAGTGCTGTGTTGTCAGTAGTTTCATCAGCAGTGCTGTGTGGTCAGTAGTTTGATCAGCGGTGTTACTGTGTGGGCTGTAGTTAGATCAGTGTTACTCTGTGGTAAGTAGTTAGATAAGCAATGCTGTTTGGTCAGTACTTTGGTCAGTGATGCTGTGTGGTCAGCTGTAGAGCCAATGATGTTGCATGGTCAGTAGTTTGATTCATAGTGCTCTGTGATCAGTAGATAGAACAGAGGTGCTGTGTGGTCAGTAGCTCAGTTAATGGTGCTGTGTGGTCAGTACTTAGATCAGTGATGTTGTGTGGTCAGTTATGTAGTTACACTGAAACTTATCTATTTTTGTTATTTTTTACTTTTTTGGGGATACATAGTTTTGTTCTGATAGTGATCAAATGCTGTATGATTCCCAGAACAGAATTATGGGATTGCTTATTCCAAAAATGATGCATGCAGAGATACACATGGTGTGTTTTAGTGATCATGTTATTAACTGAAAAGCCCTAAAAATCTGCTGTGGAAATACTAAAAAAAAAAACAGCCTGACTGCTGCACTGATCTCTGAGTGCAGCTTTAATGAGCTCAACAGTGTTTTCTGGTCAGTAGTTTGAAAAGACAGTCAGGATTAATGTGATGGCTGAACAGCTCCACTAGTGTTCTTCACACAAATCACTGTTATTCTGAACAGTGTAATTTAAAATATAAAAGGTAATTTAAATAATTACACACAATCTCCTTTTCCATTGTATCAGAATATCTCTGACTTATCATGAGACATACTTTAACCAGCTTGTGGGCCCTGTCTGTCTATTTGCACTCAGCATCCAAAAACATAAAGCCACCTTCTTATTGTCTAGTTCTTTTTCAAATGTTATGTGTGGCACCATTTTAGGAGAAATGGAAACTTTGAATAAGAAGCTGAACAGAAAGCCAGTTTCCACCTCACTCATACCTTTTGGCTCAAAAACAGCGAGTTTGAGACACAATTTCTAAATGCGCTAATGTCCTGCAATGTCACATCACACTACCTAATCCAACACTTCTTCTCTATGGTAGTACAAAACAGAAAATCAGCCAGAATACAAGATTCACGTAAACACAATCAACACTGCAGCACCCTTCACTATAAAGCATGCATCCACTCATCACGGCCATGTTGGCCCAATGAAGATGACAAAATTAGACAACTGAGAAAAAACCCCAGCAAACTTTAAAACCTAAACTTAATCACTGTAGGCTAAAGCGTACTGCCACATGAACTGAAGGCTTGAAACAATGGTGGATAGCAAAGGTTGCTGTGCAGTGAATGGAGGGCTTAGAAAAGAAGGCAGAACTTCATGGAGAGTGTAACGATTTGATAGGGTATGATACAGTGACAGCGCTCACAGAAAAAAAAAAATCCTAAGACCTGTGATTTTGCGTAGGCCCAGGTAGTGGAAGGGAAATAAAAATTTCACAAAAAAAAAAAAGACAATCAGACAAATTCCTCAGGGGCCCTGGGCTTCAGCCCATGCATTAAATCGCCCCTGTATATAATCTCTTTCAGAACAAAACTTTGTATGTATTTTTGTTGTTTTTTAAAGCTTTAACAGAATCTGGAAATGCCAGCTGCTCTTTAGAATGTGTTAAAATTTCATGATGATTCGACGAATAGAAAATTACTTGGAAATGCTATTCTGTTAACTTCCATGCAAAGATAAGTAGATTTTTTTCTTCTTCTGTAAACAGTTTTACTAAACAATTATTATCAGAATTTATTTTGCTGCCTCCAACTCAGTGCTGTGAGGCTTTAGCTGTATTGTACAGAGACAGTCATAAAAAGATAAATATATTTAAAAGATCCCTGAAGGGAAATCGAAGCGCAAATTAAAAGCAACGTTGAATAAATATAGAACACAGATCTGTAGGTTAAAAAACAACAGAAAGTAATAATCAGAACTGGAAAACACCAAACTTGTTCATATTACTCACATTCACATTTTATCAACTGATCACTGAACTGAAAACTTCCTCTCTCTAACCTCAGTTCAGTTTGAGAGTCTGTTTCACACTGAAAGTCAAAAACAAGCAGTAAATCAGTAATAATATCCATTAAAAGCTGAGAGCAGCATTACCTAATTCTGAGGTCAGAGTTCAGAGTCTTTAAAGCTGAGAGCAGCGTTACCTAATTCTGAGGTCAGAGTTTAGAGTCTTTAAAGCTGAGAGCAGAGTTACCTGATTCTGATGTCAGTGTTCAGAGTCTTTAAAGCTGAGAGCAGAGTTAGCTGATTCTGAGGTCAGTGTTCAGAGTCTTTAAAGCTGAGAGCAGTTACCTGATTCTGAGGTCAGTGTTCAGAGTCTTTAAAGCTGAGAGCAGAGTTACCTGATTCTGAGGTCAGTGTTCAGAGTCTTTAAAGCTGAGAGCAGAGTTACCTGATTCTGAGGTCAGTGTTCAGAGTCTTTAAAGCTGAGAGCAGTTACCTGATTCTGAGGTCAGTGTTCAGAGTCTTTAAAGCTGAGAGCAGAGTTACCTGATTCTGAGGTCAGTGTTCAGAGTCTATAAAGCTGAGAGCAGATTTACCTGATTCTGAGGTCAGTGTTCAGGGTCTTTAAAGCTGAGAGCAGAGTTACCTGATTCTGAGGTCAATGTTCAGAGTCTTTAAAGCTGAGAGCAGAGTCTCCTGATTCTGAGGTCAGTGTTCCGATTCTTTCTGAGTCTTCAGTTAGAATTTCAGCTCTTTATCAGGATCTCCAGTCCTACAGCAGAGACACTCATCAGCTCATATATGATAATACAATCTGTAGTTTCTCACAGTCGACCAGTTTATTATATCACACTCCTGAATACACACTCAGCTTCTCTACTGGAGTTTAGACTGAATGATGAACCAGCTGTAACTTCCTTTTACTTAGAAAGAGAAAACCAGTTGGAGCACATTCAGTCACATTAGAGTGTCTCTGATATCAAATCTTAACAAGACTGGGCAAGTTTAGTTTTGGTGGATCAACATCAACTACACTGCATTTGTCACACAAGTCTCTATTATATTGGATTTATTTACATACTAAACTTTATGTACTGGATGGAAAATTCCAGAGGTGAAAGTAACAAATTACATTTACTCTCGTTACTGTAATTGAGTACAGTTTTCCCTGTAACGTTTTTTTGAGTAGAATTAAATCTTTTACTTTTACTCTTATTTGAGTTATTTTTAATGAAACACTTTTAATTTGCTACTTTAATTTTCATAACATTACAGAGTAAAAATAAATTATAACGTATCAGCTCAGAAACCAGTATGAATGACACGCGGTTAAATGTAAAAGATTCACCAATCAAAAACAGCAGCTTGGCAGGAAAAACACTACAGAGATGTCCAGTTTAGTGAAGAAGGACAGAGGAGAACTGAACCAGCAAATATGAGGAACAGACTGCATCCAAATGGTCATCTGTATTCATTTAACATGAACTAAAGAAAACGGCATTATTATCAGCGGCCAAACATGAAACCTACTGAGATACGCTCTCACAGCTCGACTCCAGCCTGACGGAGCGTTAGCTGATCCGAGCTGAACAGGTACCGTGTTTACGGGTTTCTTCTTTCTTTTATGATGATTCTTTTCATTAAACTTCAAATCTGATGTGTATATTTTATTACATTGTCTGTCAGCTGCTTTAGTTAACAGGTGTCGACCACAGTTTACCTGTTTATACAGCCTAGTTTAGTGAAAACAGATCAACTAGGATGTCTTATAAAATCATCTAACCATGAAATGCATGAAATTTAATGTAAACCTTGTTCCTTACACAGTTCACAGAAAGGAGTGTAAATGTGACTAGCAGAGCTAACTGTGATCAGTCTCAGAACTTTAGTTTTTACTTTAGCTTTAATGTTTTTCTGTACAGATTATTGCCGATAATGTAGCCGAGTCAGCTCAGAAATATGTTCAGTTTGGGATAGTGGAAATACAAAAAATTAAATCCAGTACATAAGTGGTTTTTCAATAAACTACTTATATACTATTACTTGAGTAATTTTATTTACTACTACTTTTACTCGTACCTGAGTAAATTATCACTACAGTAACAGTACTTGTAATCAATTTTCAATTTTTAGTACTTTTTAAACACCTGACAAATTCATATTTTACCCCATGAGTTACCAGTCAAGTTTTATCAATGCACAATTAACTATCAAACTATCATACTACATACGACTGCTACCACTAATAACAATAATCATAAGTAGAACATTCAAAGGGTTCAAGTACATAAAGTTAGACTGTTAAAACAGTTTAATTATATGGGACTCTTATTCTGATATCAGGGGCTTTTAAAGGTCAGTCATCATCCAGAACTGGCAAAGGAGCTACCTGATTAATCTGTGTTCTTTAATGGTTTCTTTGATAATTTATATTATTATTATGACATGGTGTTTCTAATGCTATACCTTGAAAGAATCCATTTAGACAGATTTAGCTTAGCTGTCCAGCTGGGGCTAATTTACAGTAACAGATTGTTATTAACATAGTAACAATTTGTCAGACTCTAAGATAATTTCTGCTATTAAACATCCATCATACGGCTACTAAGAATCAAAGTCAAGCAAAGTGTACATTTTCTCTTGAGAGTATAAAAATAAGAGCAAACACAACTAATTCTCTCTAGCATACATGCTAATAGTGCTAGCTTTAAAGCTTCTAAACCAGCTAATGTTACACTGGTGAATTAATGTAACTTTATAAAGCAGTAATTCTGGTTGGTGTAGTGTCAAGTGGCATAAAAATGCAGTCAGAATAATCTGGGGGTCAGGATGATTCAGGAGGAATAAGGTGCTTCTTCTAAAATTCCATAGAAGAAACATCACTAGACAAAAAAGAGACATGAAACACTACTGGCCCCATTTAACACCACATAGTACCGTTTTATATACATAGACATAACACCTCATAAACACTTTTACAATGCAATAAGCACTTATTACACATGAGGACTACAGTGAAAAACGTAAATTGGGTAGAATGTGTTTATTTAACTGTTCAGAATAGAAATTTGACACATTATCATTTTGAAATACTGTCATATTGCGCCCCGTGACAGTTACATTGTAAAAAGACAGTGATCAGACATTAAAATCACAGATATGTTAACTAGTTTGTACAAATTTGCCACTTTCAATGATAAACATGCCACTCAATGTGCCACTGAGTATCTGACTATCTGTTAATCTGACTTTTACAAGCGTTAAATGAAACCTCTGAGGCTGAAAAGCTAACCAGTGAAAAGTTTCAGTGTTTCCCTGTACATTATACTATACGTTACAAAATTGTATGGAATCTGTTGTAGCTCATTCTGCCCTTGATTTAATGTTAATCGCTTATAATGAGGCAGTAATACAATCATGATCATCACTTGATCGCAAACAAATATCGGTTATTAAAATCGTCATATCGGTCAATGTTATTAATAATAGTAATGAACTACACACATTGTCCTTTTACGCTGCAGGGTTTCCTGATAAAGCTGATGATGTTCAACTCAGTTTAACCCTCAAAACCAAAACACACACTTTAATCAAACTCCATAATGAAGAACTGAGTCCATACAGTGAACATTACACTCATACATTCATAAACAGGCGTTCATTTCCTACCTTTATATTTCTGGACACTGTGTGATGTTAAACAGGCTGTTTCTCCTCTGGAGTGAATGTAATGTTGTCTGTTCTGTTAAGAGAGATGATGAAGTCACAGTGGGTGAAGTTCACTGAACAGCATCACTAAAACAGGTTCAGTCTAAATCTCAGTGATGCTGTGAGGAAGAAAACACTCTGCATGTCATTCGACCTACAGTCTCACTGAGACACACAGACTGCAGTGTTTTCTTAATGACAGCTAAAGTTCAACAGAATGAAATCAGCTGTAAAAGCTTCATAGTAAAAGTATCTGATCTCAGAAATCTGAACTGCAGAGGCTCAGACCGTGAACTGTCTAAGTTATGATTATTAAATACAAAAAAAATAGTAAAGAGTTAAGATGCTTTTCATTTATGATACTGTTAAGTAGAGCTGGGCGATATGGCCAAAAATGTTATCACGATAAACAAAATTCATATCGTTCGATATCGATACTTATCACGATAAATGTCAATCATTATTTCTTTCACGTTTGAAGGCTGATTTTTGCTCCTGGGTGGTTAATTGTGGTTTTTAACTATCATTTAGGTCGGATCATGACAAACACTCACCAACCAGTGGAACATTTCACAAATCTGTCATGGGACAGTGGGAGAAAGGGTCTAGTGAGCTGTTTTTATCACCTGGAAAAGCACGGCCGCAGTTTTTGTAATAGTCATAATGTAAGAAAGAAACAGATTATTTTATCTGTCTGGTGACGAGCGCTCAGCTACCCCATTACAAATGACATCACAGTATTCAGACACCAGCTAGCGACGACTGGATTTCTCTATAGGTTACTATCGTAGTAGTTTACCGCAGTATATCTCACGCCAGACAAACGGAGTCCTCCTTTTAGGTATGTTTAAACTGAAAATAGTGCTTTTGTGTCTTGTTTGATCTACAGTATCATCAATTCTCCGTGTTTTGGAGTGACAGAGCGCTGCTTCAAGTTAGCCAGCTGCTAAAAACAGCTAGCCTGGAAAGATAGCGCTCTCCCGCTCTTCAATGCCTCACAGCTTCCTCAGTTTACTTTCGTTCAAATCAGGGCTGTAATTTACATGAACCCACTTCTTTCTTTCACTTTCGTTGTTGGGAATGCACCAATACTTAAATATGACTGTCCGAGCGCTGTAGCAGTGCTGTAGTTGTGAGGATTGTGATTGTGATTTAACGCTGCCAAAGCTGGTTAGGATGTTAGGAAAGAGGTGAGTTCACTGTAGGACGGTACAGTTACACCACTGACTTCGTCACTCACACTCGGTCACAGGAGAGCAGATCGCCGGTCGCTCCACTCAAACAGGGAATGTATAACTCCGCGTTTCAGCCGTTGCTAAAGACTCATCTTACTCGCGGCCCCCTCCCTGTCTAATCATGTCGAAAAACTCGGAAGTGCGCCCTCTCCTGGCGACAGCAGAGTAGTGTCGCTTTCCTTGCAGTAGAAAACGCCACCATGGCTTTCGCTGAACGTGGAAATGTGAGAACGGTGTATTATATCGAACATTTATCGAACCTGTCTTATCGCTCTATCGAGGAAAAGTTATATTGCGATAATTATTGTTATCGTTTTATTAGTTAGTAGCGCCCAGCCCTACTGTTAAGATAATTATCAACTTTATGAAGAAAATAGAAACACTTTAAACACTTCATTCATGACACAATATAAAGAAATTACTTATTTATTTGTTAATTTTCAGGAGAGATTTTCCTAAAAAATGTGGAAAGAGGAGAAAAAAACAACCATGTATTTCTGTGAGCTGCCTCTTTGACTGACTATGTCCTCAAGAAGACTTCAAAGGACAACTACTATTCAGAAGAAACAACACTGGGACACCTGCTCCTGTAGAAAGGAGTGATGTGAGTCTTTTAAAGTTGCTGGTTAAAAAGAACTCAGGAGGGTCTCCACTGAGTACAGAGTGAGGGGCTTCATACCTTTATGTAAAGACTGTAACTGTTCATGTTTCAGACACTGCAGTGTTATAATGGGCTACTTTACATCAGTTATCAGTTCTACTTGAGGCAAGTAAGATTGAGCAGTTGAGCACTTAATTTTGATGTGAT